TTTCGTCAGCCTCAGGTTCATCCTCCTCTTCATCTTCGTCTTGGTTTACATGGACGAAATCAAATTCTGGGGGTGGATGAGCCATGAGGGCAGGGGAGACACTACGTGATGGGGTAACTGGTCGACCGCGAGTGCGCACCCTGCGGTGTCGTGTGCCGGAGCGACGAACGGAAGGTGTTGAGCGAGGCTTGCGTGATTTCGGAGTAGGAGGGGTAACTTGAATATCCTTGTACTGATAGTATGTCAATGACGACACAGTAACACACACAAGGCTGTACATACTTGTTCGGGGACCCAGTCACCCGGGTGGTATGGTGGTGGTAATGGTTGTATTCTTTCTTGTTCCTTGCCTCGGTCCCGCCAGCTGCGCTCAATAGTGATAAGTGACATTAACATCGAACTGAAATTCTGCACTCACAGACGATAGACAGTGAGACCAACAGCAGTCCCGATAAGAGCAGCGCTCAACGCTGTAGACACGATCGAACCGGCGAGAGTGCGACGCCGCTTGGCGGGTGGTAATTCTACATCTATTTCAATAACGATAACCAAAGGCATGAATGAAAGTAGGTTGGAAGATGAAAGTAAAGAAGCAAGAGATATGATTCCAGAATAAAAACCGTAGCTTGCGCATGGACAACGCGTGGATCACGAAGCACCAAACACATGGCAGGCGCATGGCGCGGGTATCGCTTGTGAAATATGTAATGCTACATCATGGATGATTGAGACACACCTGCAAACATTTCTTCAACAAATTCCTGTTCATGCGCTTCATGCGCTATATCCCTGTACTTTGCTGGTGTATCGAGATAACCGCGAGTAGATGCGGCGCTTGTGGCAGCTTGGCTAGGTTCGGGGATAGAAGGGACCCAACCGCGCTTACGGTTTAGTGGTACAAATGGTGATAGTGATGGTGACGGTGATGCACGGCGGGGAGGAGGAAACTGGGTGCAATTACGTCGAGAAATAGCAGCTGCATGATCAAGCAGTGCATCTTTCCTGTCATTCCGGGACGGTTTTACTGCCGATTGAGCGGTAAACGGATTGTGAAGACCCGGTACGCGAAAACTGAATGTAAATGGGAAAGGCATAGCAACTCGTAACAGAGATCGTAAACCAGAAAGCAGATAAGTACAAGAGAAAGGAAAGGAACAGGCCTGATGTCCTTGCACGTAAGTATGCGTAGAAATCAATGACTGCGAAAGAGGATTGTTGGTTCCACAATCCACCAACCACCACGCCTGGGAACAATTGACAAACAAACACCAGCCAGTGCCTCCCTCGCCTAATCAACCCCTATGTTGGCAGGATCAAAGTTCGGGGGGTCAGCTGATCGCGCTTGGTACTCTAAGTGATCGATTATAGTACTAGTGATAATACAGGCCATGTATAGCACTGGTGACCGGAAACTGCTTCTATTATTCACATCACCCCTGATCCCAAGGTTGAAAACGGAACAACAAAGTGTAATGTCCGGAGAGTCCATGTCCGAGATGACTCCACAGAATGAACATCGCAATATGCACTTTTGCCTAAAATTAAACATGATGTGAAAGGACGGAGTGTATGACTGCCGGGAATCTACGTTACAGCACATGCAGTCTTGGACAGACGTTAACAAACGACGCGACGCATGTATCAAAGAGTTGATTGACAATAGCGTGACTGTTTCGTTGGAGGTCCTAAGTCGCCATACTAGAAGAGGTATCTGATCGCTCACTGAAATAGCCACCATGTTCGTTATAGATACGACTGTGTTACAAAGGTAGTTATTCGCGATCATTTGAATGCAGTCGTGAAAGGGCTTACGCACTAGGCATACCATATAAAAATAGAATCGTGATACAGCAACCCCAACAAACCACTCGCAACGCCAGTCATTTGCTGCGAATACACTCTGGCTTGAGTCAGCGCAAGAATGAGGATCACTGATGTACACGTAAGTTGACAGTGAAAGTCATGCCAATGACATGACAATCTCAGTCACGACCAGCGTTAGGAAAATATGAATAGCACATTGGCATCCGTTTGATGAATCCAACTTACACATAGCGGCATCGTAAACAAATGGAAGATGGCAAAAATGCAAAAGAGGATCCTTGCTGTGCCCCACTTCTACCAGCGACTGAAAGTAGATAGCGATCAGCAACGTGAAAGATCAATCTTGCAGGGTTCAGTTTGTCACCTTTCATTTCATATACTGTTGTGGTGCCGATTAGATCGTCATCCGGCCAACTATAGATTCACCTCGACGTAGGATCCTGAAATGCGTTGATCATGAGCATAGGGCCGGCCATCGAGTCCATCATTGAGAGCCCCGACAAAAAATCATACGCAAAACATGAGGGTCTTATACCCCTCCCCCAACCCTAAAAGTTAGACTTCACTTACTGATGACATCACGACAGCTTAGCTGTACAACAGGTGGGTAAACCAACGTTGTTGGTGAAGAGCGGCTTTGTGCGCGATAAGGGTGGGAGATCACTAGACCTGTGCTGTGGGCTGCAGGCTCCGGGTACACACCCTGCAGTCTGGACTGTCCTCGCGTTAACGACTAAGTTGACGTTGTTTGACCATCCCAATGGATACCCGTTTCAACCAGCAGCCATCGGGTGTCCTGCAAAAAATACCTCTTAACCATGAATTTTTATTTTTCCCATGTGGTAGTACGAGATGCTCGAGACCGGTAGAATCAGAGCACGGACATGAAAACATACATTCATATTTGCTATTCATGACATCCGGATTGATATGTTATGGTCGACTCCCTAACATTGTGGTTGTGCCTGGCCCCTGGTGATGGAACATCGCGATTGATACGCCGGGCGTATATCAACACCTCGACTTTGGCGGGTATAGCTATTCCCGACAAAGTACATCGGGAGCACTAAGATTATCGGCAAGTCCCTGTCGCTCTGGTGATTAGATCGGTACCAATCTGAAGATCATTTTGTCATCGTCGAAGACGCAATCTGAAGGCATTCATAGATGCCCTCGACTGAGAGTCCAGGTAATCTTCGTAGAATCCTGTGATGAACTCCTCGGCCTTGAACCCAAATCTGTTGTACAGCAACTAGACAAGTTTTAGAAATGTGTGCCAACACCGATCACCAGTAAAAGCGCACCATCGCTGGATTATTAGCAGCTACGTGAAGTGTGATATCTCTGTGCGGATTGAGCATGATCAGGTGATATAACATAGTGCTGCAGTTAAAAGATCGTAAACTATTATTATTAACTCGAGAAATTGCAACGTACGTTGCTATCTGAGAATTATGCCAGCCAGCTCTGACGGCTAGGTACGTGATGTATGCTTCCTGAGGCGAGCTCAAAAGAGCCACGCCAATGACAATTTTGCCATACATGGCAATCACCGAGCAACGCTCGGGGGAAGACTGAAGCAAGTCGCTGACTGAATTACATGAGACAGCAACTTATGAACATGAGAGGATACAACAAACCATCAATTCCATCCCAAAACACTCTAGCTAATAATTCGTGTACCTGTTGAAGGTGGGACGACTGCAGGGAGACATAACGGATTGGAACCGGAACTTCAGGTGATTGAGATGATGCAGGGCTAATGATAACATTGAGGTGAGAAGCGTAGTCATTCGGGTAAAAAAGACCTACTGGGCATATGAGTAGTGTTCTCGCACATCTGTCATCAATTCTATCCAAGGAGATCTGGTTTCCCAGTCTACTGCAACTAACCCTAAGTCTGTAGACGGTCTATGTCCACATAGGCGAGATAAGAAAGAAATATCGTAAGGTGTCGTTCGGATAGATTTTAGCGAGTTAAAAATGCCTGATTGTTGCGGCTGAGGCGGTAATTGGGGGGGTGCGGAGGTCAAAGAATTGTAATTGACAAAGTCTAGCCCCTGGATATCTGTTCTATGTCTTTCCTGCCACACAAATAAACCTCTAGTCTCTGAGTCACATCTAAACCATGACTACTTACCCGACGAAGTTGCAGCTTTCTCAATATAGTTGCCTGTGCCGGTGAAGGAAGAACCGCCGCACCAAACGCGGACGCATACTTTATCGCAGCCGACAACTCGTACCGAGACAAAGGTCGAAGAAGAGTGCCCTGTCTTCAGTTAGCTTCATTGCCCGTCTCAAAACATAATCCGTACAAAGTTGTCCGTTCTGCAATCGCTGTCTTGTACCTGACGGCGTACTTCCAAACACTCTGGCAGCACGGAGCACATAAAATGTTCAAAACAACTGGCTTCCTCCGGGTCATTTGCTGGGTCATCAGACGTATGGTTTTCTGTTCCAGTTCGAAAAAAATCTAGCAGGCCATCGAGTAACATGGATGTTCTTGTAACACGCATTTTTGGAGAGGGGACCATGATCCTTCTCGAGTTGCCTTTCTGCCGTTTCGCTTGGGAGACTCCCTGCAAGTCGCATCATAGGCGAACCATTTACCAGCGTCACCTTACGAGCTTACCTCTGTATACGCCTCGTCCTCATTCTTGAAAGATGCCCGCCGAAAAGGTGGCATGGAGGATATAAATTAGTGCTACTTAGTATCGAGACATGCATACACTTTTGTAGGGCAAATTCATAGAAAAAACCCGAAATTGGCACTGATCGTTTATCTTCTGTTCTCAAAAGGAAACACGACCTAAATCTGAGCATCTTAGTTCAACTCTCCCCTAGAGGCCCCACTGCAACACTGCCCACACTTACCCAGCAGGTACCGTCCCTGTAATGCTTCATGCTTCACCCGGCACTGCCTGCAGGATACGTCATATTGTTGTAATACTGACATCCCTGACTTCCCACTGAAGTTCAACATGCGGATATCTGCCTAAGCGAGGGCAGTAACCATGAAAACCACAGCATTTTTCATGCACTAAATACACAAGAGTATATGATATAAATCCAACAAGGTCCGTGCCAAATGGGAGAAGACGAAGGAGTGATATCGGTCGGCTCGATGATAGTACTGATAACGTGAAACATATGAAAGTAGTCAAAAGAGAAATCGATCACAGCCTCGTAATGGCCTTTGAATCAAGGGGCATGCCTGTAAGATACCATGATGAATTCCCAAGAACTGCAAGGTTATGTTAATGCTGACCTGATGGATCGATCCCATTACGAGCGAGGATTTGATTATGGCGAATCAATCTTGCTTGGTCGAAACTGTGTGAATGAAGTTCTTATAAGCTACACTAGCCACGTAAACGAAACACTTACTTGACCCGTTGGGCACGCATGATGTCCAGCACCTCCTGCGTTCCCTGTTCGTCCAGTCCCGCTCGCGAATCTCCCTCGGCGATGTTGGCTGACTCAATGTCAAACATTGGAGAGCTCAGCCCTGCACGTGCTTGATCAGAGAAAGAGGCAAGCGGCGTGTAGTGGTTAAGGCTTGGGAAGAAAGCCTTAACTCTCGTAGGGAGAGT